AATGTGTTTGGAGATTGTTTACCCACAGGTGATTGTTTAATTGGATATTGATGTAAGTTCTTTTCACTCTTTGGCCAATCAGGGCCAAGCTGTGTTGAGACTCTGGAAAGAGCCACAAGTTTTCATTATTATCTTTTTAGCATTCCATGAGTGTCCTTTCTGTATTCTTTAGTATAGTATTGTATTCTTTAATCTAGTATAATATTATAATGTAATAAATTAGCCTTCTGAGAACATGGAGTCAGATTCATTCCTCCCTGCCACAGGGGTCCCGTCAAATACAATAGGGCATGCACAGCTTCTCTGATCAACTTCTTACAGTGCCTCATCATCCTCACAAGTAAAGAATTTCTTCCTAATACCTAATCTAAACCTTTTTCAGTTTGAAGTCGTTCTGTCATGCTCTTCCAAATAGCCTCTCTCCATGTTTTTCTCTCGTCAAAAAGTACTTCATAAAAACCTTGAGTTTCATGAGAGGCAGCCACCTCTTTTTAGTGTTTTCCTTAAAAGTACTGCCCTGGTTTTATTGTTCCTAAGCAAGTGTTGATGTCACGCCAAGTGTTGTAATACCTGGAGGAAAAGGATTAGATTACTGAAAGGAGGTAAAAGCTTGGCACGTGGAGCCTCATAGTACAAAGCTTGGATTTTCTTTCTGTAACCTTTAGAGACAGTATGAATATATATTTACCAGTACTAAACTAGTAAAGAATAGTATACCAATAATCCAAATGACAGAACACTTTTTTCTCTGATGAAAAGTCCATCCCACCAGCATCCCAAACTTCTGTTTAGTTTGGTTGGTTGGCACTGTTCCTATCAATTCCTTTAAGTGAAATTATATTTCTTTAAACAGCTGTCCTGTGAATGCAAGCTTGTTTGCAGGTGGCTTTGATTTGCTGGATAGCTAAAATTTATTCAAAGGGTTCATAAAGACAGAAAGCAGTTCAGGGGAATAAACAGTGAAGGAGATAAAAGTGAAAAGTTGGAGAAGCATGAAAAGAAGAAACAACAAAACCCACCATGTCAGAAAAAGAAAGTAGAAACCTGTTTGAAAGGGAAACAGTTGAATATGTTGGAAAAGTTTAAAAGGAAGATGAGAGAGAGTAGAAAATCAAAATTAATTTCTAAGTTGAGTTAAAAAATTGAAGCTTATTAAAGTAAAAATGGGTCCTCATCCCCCAACAACCATAACAACTTCAATGACTCTTTAGCAAGAAAACAGGTCAGGAAATGTGAATCTGCTGGGGTCTAGGCTGGTTTTGTCTTTATTTTGAAAGAAAAGAAAAACTCAAAACCCTTCAAGTCCTGCTGTTACCTTTCAGTTGACTTTGGTTGGCTTTGCATCAATTAATTATACAAGATATCTAGAGTCAGGTTCAAAGAACAGTTAAACACAAAGTTTTATTTGCACAAGTAGTTTCATTGTGCTTCAAACACACACACAGCTGAGCGGTTTCCTTACTACAGTCGTATTCCCTCATATCCCCCTACAGTCCACTGTATTTCATTATGAAATCAAGTTATGAGTAATGGTCATAAGATAGTAAGTAAAACATGGATGCTGGATATCCATGAGAGATTCTGGAATCTTGATTTGTCACCATGCTAGTCCAGTGTTACAGCAGCAGAAATACAACTAAAAGATGAAAGTTCCCATTTTTCCTCTACATTGTACATCTCTTTCATTAATACTCCCAATTACAAATGGGGGTCGAGGACATTTCTGCCCAACATTCACACAAAGAATTCATAGCTAGGAGATGGCCCAAACCTGGTTGCAGCACAGCAGACACAGCTGGCTGCTCAAGTTCTATGTATGAGCCACTTAAAAGAAAGCAAAAAACAAAACAAATAAGGCAGCAAAGAAACAGAAGAATGCAGATATAGTGGCTCCAGAGGGTTTTTAAGGTGGAAAAGGGAGTTCCATTAAAAAATCATCACTTTGCACTAGTTTCCTATGCATCACATTCCACAGGCTGCCAGCATTCATATATATAGATGACAAGCACTCAAACTACTGACATCTATAATAATTCATGGGTCACATCAGTTCTTAGCTGGATCATTTGCTAAGTTCTTAATCACTGATACTCCCCACAATCACCAGGCTGAATATACACACGTGTTGTGATTCAGCTACACAGAATATATAAATATAAATGTTTAGCCAAAAACTGAAATCGGATAGCAAGAGTCTGAAAAACTGAAGATATTTTTCACTGTAAGGAAGTTATTTGAAGCACACCATAGCTGTACTAGCAGGATGTCAAGGAGATCAAGCATAAGAATGTGGTTTCTTCTTTCCCAGCTTTCCACATACATGTTAGCATAAACAAATGCTGGTTTATATAGAGATTATATGGTTCCGGGAGTCTAACCAAGACAACTTTGAGATTTATTAGCTACAATCCAGCTATGTCAGTTCATCTTCAAAATAGCACGGGATAAAACAAATGATCCCACTTCATGAAGGGAAGCCACTCAGCTGGCTGGAAAGAGCAGGGGATTTCTCCATTAAAGACTTTCAGGTTTCTTTGCACACAGCCACTCTGCCATAGGGAACATGCTATGGATGGGAAGGAGACTGGGAAATGAACTGGATTTACAGAAAAGGCAGGCAATGGGCATGTTGTGTGTACCATATATTTCCTGATGGCTGCCAAGGCACGTGGGGCTACAGGGATACACGAGGTGCCAGGCAGGATTTGGTGTCACCCAGGTGCCCTCAGCCCCAGGCTGGCAGGGCTTCAGATCCAGGGCAACTGCCCCTGGCCCCTTTCCTGGCAGCCCTCCTGGCTCCATGTTGGCCACAGGCCTTGCCCAGAGCCAGACACAACTGGCATCTTTCCCCCTTTGGCCACGCACAATTCCCTCACCCTGCGTGTCACCAGTGACAACCTGGCTTGCCTGCCTGAGCCCTGGGAACCGCCAGCCTCTTCCAGGGCACCCAGAACCCCATTCTACACAAAAGGATGGCAGCAACCCCTGTCCACATGCTGGGGGATGTGGAAGAGAGCTCTTGGCAGAGCTGCTCAGCCCTTCTGAGCCTGGGGGCTGCAGCTGCCCTCAGGCTGCCAGGGAGAACAGCAGCAGCCTCTTGCAGCAGCTGCAGCCTCCCACAGGTGCCTTCCGAGCCTCCTTTGCTCCAGGCTGAACATGCCCGGCTCCCTCACCTGCCCCTCACCAGCTCTGGACATGCCGCAGCCTCATCGTGTGGTCCTAAACCTGAGCTCAGAATTCCAGATGCAGCCTCAGCAGTGACAAGTACAGGGACATTGGTCCTAAATCATAGAATATTCTGAGCTGGAAGGCATCCACGAGGATAGATCCTAAAGGATGCCAAGACTTCTCACAGTGGTGTTCAAGTGTTGGGAGCAGCAGAAAAAAGGAAGACATTTTTCATATCAAAGCATCAAACTACCTGAATTAATCAAATTAGATGAGGAAACAGGTTACCATGTGTAGCCATGATATTATGAAAATCCTTTGCTGGGATTTTTCCCCTCCTGAGAAGCTGAGGAGCCTCAGGAGAGAAAGGTAAACAATTACTATCTGCTGCTGTGGAATGCAACAGGTGCATCTGTGATTGGTCCATGTGGATTGTTTTCCATTGATGACCAATCACAGCCACCTGTGCCAAGGCTGTGAGCAGTCACAGGATTTTTGTTATTCTAGTCTATTCTGTTCTTGTTGTAGCCTTCTGATCTCTCTGTTCTTTTAGCATAGTCTTAATGTAGCATTTTAATATAATATCTAACATAATAAATCAGCCTTCTGAAATGGAGTCAAGCCTCGTGTCTCCACACACGGAGAGGAATCATCAACAACCATGGAATAAAACAAATTTATTTACATACTGCTTTCCATCATTCTAAAACATGGCCTTATTTGATTGGTGTTTAGCATTTGTCACTTTCCTTTTCTTGAGTAGGAATGAAATAAATTAAATAGCTCCTTTAAAATTAACACCAAGATGTACCCGCCCCTGGCAGTGATGAAGGCCATCAGTAATGGCAGAAATGCCTCTGGAAGAAATTAGTCATGAATGGAAAAAAAAAAACAAAAACAAAACAAAACAAAAACAAAAACAAAAACAAAAACAAAAAAAAACAAAAAAAAACAAAAAAAAAACAAAAAAAACAACCAAAAACAAAAACAAACAACAATGGCTTGGATTACAGCCAGAGAAGAGATCACAGTGCCAAGAGAGAGTCTGAGGGAAATTGCCTGTGGGGATGGATAGGAGCAGGGCAAGAAGCAGGAGCGGTCCATCAGCAGCAATTCCTCACAGCAGCACAGCGAGCCAAGGGAGCCTCCTCACAAGAGCCAAGTGGCCAGAGCTCCTCAGGACACTCATCTGCCCACAGAAATGCAACAGCTAGAAGCCTCCTTTGCACACCAAGGAGACATTTTATTGAAGTGCTGCAAGGCCAGGAGGCACTATGAAGGAAGTACTTTTGTGCTTAAGTAAGAGAATCCCTTAAGGCCTGGAAATCCAGCATTAAGCATGGGAAAATGAGACAAGGGAACGAATGTGCTTTAAAACCAAACTGTACATTTAAAGAGGACAAAGTAGACAATTTTGTAATACAACCAAAAGAAATGTGAAGTGAAATGAGAGTTGTGATTTTATTTCCAAAGAGTGCAGAAGTTCACATGGAGCCATTGGGTTAGGTGGGAAAGAGGCTGGGCAATAGGTATCCTGTCTGTGATGAGAGCCCTTGTCACCTCCGGTCCCTGAGGGCTCCCTCAGTGCCGGGCAGGGCACGGGGGCTTGGTGGCACAGGGCCCTGCTGGCCCCCGCCTTGGGGAGAGTCCGTGTGCTGCTGCCTGGCAGGCCTGGGTTCCCGCAGTGCAGCAGCGCCTGCGGGCAGGCTGCAGCAGGGTTCCGTGCCCTCTGATCCCCCGTGGCACCGGGACACCGCCCGGCCGGGCGTGGAATATTCCACCGGCACCCGAGCCCTGCCAACGGCAGAGCCGTCTTTGGGCAGCACCCGCGGGCTGCAGCAGCACGGAGCAGCTCCATTCGGGGAGCACTGCTCGGCCTGAAAGCCTGTTCGCAGCGCATTTCCTGCCGCTCGGGAGCCATTCCTCGCCCGCAAGCCTGCAGGCTTGTGCCAGGTAATTCTGCGCTCTGCTGCCAGGGGGCAAACACAGCAGCCGCGGCTGTCTCCGCTGCATTCCAGCGCTGAGCACCAGCAGGAACAGCTTCAAAGCCAGGCTCTTGCTCCTGCCTCTGCAAGCTGACAGCACTTTGCTGGGCAAGGTTGCAGGAGGGCTTGCTGCTGCTGATTCAGCTTGAATCCTAAGTGTCTCTGAAGAGCAGGAGAGCCAGGCAATCCCTAGGAAGGGAGGGTGACATAGGAAGCCCAAAGGCCCCTGGCTTCTGCCCCATGTGCTGCCAAAAGGTGCCAGCACAGACAGGGAGAGGCTTGAGGGCAGAGCCAGCAGATGTGTGCCAGGGGGAACTCTGGCCTTTTCCTGGGCAGTGCCTGCAGCAGGTGCTCCAGCTGGGGCCTGGGATTGCCTGCTGGGAGTGGGAGCAGCTGCCAGGGGCTGCTCTTGCAGTTGAACGGTCACAGCCAGGGACTCCAGAGGGAGGTTGCAAAGCCCGTGTGGAAACAGCCACATGCCAAAGTGAAGCCAAAGCTATTGACTGATAATTTTTCCAGTTTGAAGGCTCAAGGCCGTTATAATGACAATGGCCTTATCTGTATCTATATCTGTATATCATGTGTCTGTAAGAACAATGGCCACCAGAATATTTGAATCATTCAAGGATAGGTTGGACAAGTCTTTGAGAAACCTGGTCCAGTGAAAGGTGTCCCTGCCCATGGCAGAGGAGTGGAACAAGGTGAAATCTAAGGCCCCTTCCAACCTACAACATTCGATGCTTCTATGGTTTTATGGGGCTGTGGTTCTATGAATCTGGTGTGTTCTCTGACTGTATGTCAAGTTTTCCCTTCAAATACCTCAATACATGCAAAACACCAAGCTTTGTCCATAAAAATATCACATGAATTTTAGTGATAGCAACATTTGGAGGAAAAAGCTCTTGAGGTGGCTACATGAGCTTTAAGTTTCCAAGCAGCTTCCAGGCTTCCTTGTTTCATTAGAGCACCTCTCTGCCTGTGGCTGGATGGAGAAGGCAGAAAGAAGAGCAATCAAATATGTCCTGCTATGGGATGCAGCAATGAGCCTGGCCAAAAAGAGCACTGTCAAAAGCTTGTAAGAATTCCCATCAGGTCACTGGGGTGCCTGCTTTCCTCTCCACAGCAAGGAAAGCTTGTGTTCAGAAGCACAGCTTGCTTGCAAGAGCATTTGTGCCTTGTGCCAATAGTGTCAGGTTATTGCTGCCCATGCAACCTCAAATCCATGGGGCGCCAGTGTGGCTGAAAACCTGGCCCTATCAAGGGCACTTGCAAAACGTTTTGACTGTTTGGTGGAACCTGGATTTTCCTGCTGGCCACTTGTGTGCTTTGTGGCCCTCTTAAGCTGGATAAACTGGTGACAGAGCAGGGCTCCCGGCAGTGCTGTTTATTCACAAGTGGGCATGCATGTCTCTCTACACAAGTTATGTCAATGCCAGGTCCACTCAACAGATGTTGGAATAAAATTTGGAATGATTTCTCCCTGTATGCACTTGCTACTTCTCCCACCTCCGTTTATCTTTACATTCAAGCTGGCATCTTGTTCTTTTAAGGCAGTTTGTTTCCCAGCCAACATTTTGGTTTTCATGCTGGTGAGGAGGCAGAAAAGATGCAGTGTTTGTTTGCTTCCAGGTGTGTCCTCTGAGCTTAGCGTGAGTGTCTATTCTCAGGCTTCCCAGTTGCATGGGGAGGTGGGGCTTTGACAGGATTCCCATCTGTAGTGGCCTGTGTCTCTCTGGGGCTTGCAGAATGGTTCCCTGCTGGTCCCTTCCCTGCTGTTAAAGCCGTGGCCTGGAGCTCAGCTGCTTCACCTCTTCCCCCAAGTGTCTCTGTGCTCCTGTTTCACACCCGTTGTCCCAGTGGGGTGGTTCAGAAGCCATCACAGGGTGCTCCTGTAGCCTCCTCCCCAGCAAGAAATCATTCTGCTCCTTCCAGAGTGTGAGATGCAGCAAGTGAATATCACCAATTGAAATGTAAATGTTTTCAGTCCTTTTTCTGCCTTTTTGAGACCTTGCACTGCAAGATTCCCTCTTGCATCTGCTGAGGGAATATTGTTATTTTTTCATACAGAACAGTCTTTTTATGGCTGTATTTTCCCCTCCATTTCTTTCCTTCCTCTTTCCACAAATGCTGCCATTCATGTGGGGCCCATTTCATTGTCTACAGGCAGGGTTCTTAGGGCACGTTTGTTCTGAACATGGAACTATATTTCCTGGAGCCTGTAGCAGTGGCCTGGTTTGTCGTGCCCTTGGCCAAATCTGGAGTTCAGTGCTGACTTGAAATGCAGCATCACTGCTGGGAGAAGGGGAAAATGGATCTCTTGGTTCTCCCATTCTCAGCTACGTGTCATCCTTGTGTTTGGATGGTTTCTGTTTGGGAGCACCGGAATGAGTCCCAGTCGGGCACTCCAGGCTCTGAGTGTAGCAAGTCCCTGGAGATCTTGACCTCCCCTTTAGGCATGAACTCATGCAGATGGTGAGTATCTGTTTGTTCTCTTCCAGAGAAGCTGACTCCAACTGAGGCTTCCTAATGGAACCGACAGACAAGCAGAACAGCGACAATAGGTAGGAATTAATTTGATGTAATCTTGGCTTCCTGGGTGCTGGGATGAATGTTGTGATGGTTTAGAAAAAGAATTCCCCTCCAGTGCAAGAATCAGAATTCCAGAGTGGGACAAATGAAGTAAGGAGTGGCTGTGAGTGAGAGTGGCTTAGGAGCACATTGGTCTTTTAGGAGCTTCTGTTACAGAGCCAGGCCTGGATGTGATCGTGGGTCAGGGCAGATGCTCTGCTGAACTTTCTGAAGCCAATCTCTTATTGCTGGAGCCAGGGCACTCCCTTCTGCAGTTGGGGATGCTTTTGGCCTAGGAGTATTTTGCTGTTTCAATCTGTAGCAACGCACGAGTTGCATTTTCTTTTCGGTTTGGATGATTTGTGTGACTTTTTACTTCTAGTGTAAAAAGATACTTAAAGATGATGAGGACTGAGGGGATGTTTCAGGGCAGGCATTCAGTTTCATCTGCTTCTTTGAACAGTCAGGTTGTTGGGGTTTTCCTGGTGACACATCAAGCGTAGAGCAGCTGCAGCAAGTACAGGACTATTTTTAACTCTCCAGTGCTGAGCTGTTTTTCCCCTGGACATGGAGGCTTGGAACTGTGCAGTCCCCCCTGCACCAAGGCTCCCAGGTGCTGGGCGTGTTGGTGCTAAGCCTGGAGGTGTATTTCCCAAAGCTTCCAAAGTTCCCTGACCCTAAGGGAACTGTGCAGGGTTCTGAGTGGCAGCAGAGCTCAGGTTTGCAAAGGGTTCAAGAGCATCTGGACAAACAGCTTCAATGGCCAGGTCTGACATGGGCAGCAAAGGTGTCTCCATGTCTAAGGAGACTGGGAGATCTACAGGCTTATCTAAAAAGTCTGGGCATTTCAATAGACAGCACTCATAGCCTCTGAATAAGAAATGCCATCCAGTGCAAAATCCTGTTGATTGTAAGTGACGGCCCCTCAGGATGAGATGAGGCAGCTGTGCCTCGGCTCTAGGAATGATTAAACTTTCAGGAGCTGATTATTGGTGTGGTATTGGAGTAAGTGCCACTGCTGGAGCAGACAAAGCTCTCTCCTTGCAACCTGAGACACTTGGGAAGTTGCATTTGCAAGGAAGAATTTATGAATTGTATGTACAGAGAAGACTGAGCAGTAGAGTAGAAGTAGATACCTGCATCCGCTGTGCCATTTCCTTCCCCATAAATATCAGGGATAATAATACCATAAATATGTCCATAAATATCAGAGCCCGAGTTTGCCTCATTTTGCAGTAGTCTTTCAAAGGCCAGGGACAGTTTAAAGGATGTGGTTTCCCATGCTGGGACACTTTATTGGTGTTTTGTTGTGGGGCAGGTGTGATTGAGTACATAGATATATGGCTGAGGAGGAACAGGGGGATTTGACCTGGTGTTTTCTGAATGTCTGAGAACTCCTTTCTAATTACACTGATAGGATGGCTTTAAAGGTGGCTCCATGATTTTCTAGGGAAGCAGCTTTCCAAATATTTTAAAGTCGAGAGTGAATTTCCAAGGTTGTTTAGAAAGTGGACAATGTTCAAGCCTTGAAAGTTGAAACACCTTCAGAATAGAAGATTCTGTTTGACTCACAAGGGGGGAGACTGGGGTGAGAGGTCTGAAGGAGAACAAGACTGGCATTTTATCCCATTGATCATTGCAAGTGGATTTGCCAACTCATGTGTTGATCAGCCCAGTGACTGCTTCAGCATTTCACAAGGAAATGGGGGGAGAGTCTTTCCTTCCCAGCCTTCTTGATGGATCAGGAGTAGCAATCCCTGAGAAGGATGTGTGCTGTCCCCTGTGTGTCTCATGGCCCTGGGGCACAGCACACAGTGGACAGAACCGATCTGTCCACTCTCAGCATGCTGAGGATTTCTGCATTGCTTTGCTGCTGGACATGTGCCCTCGTGGGAAAGGCCCAGTTTCTGCATGGAGTATTAACAGGGCTTGGAGTGTTAAGTCTCTTTTCTGTGTCTCTGTCTGAAAGGTGGAAGAACAACAGAGACTTGCTCTGTATTCTGGAGCAAGAGAGGCGGAGGAGGCAGGTGGCTCCAGAGGAGAAAGATCCATTCTTGGAGAAGACTCCCTTCTTTGCCAAGCCCTACAAGGTAATGGGAGTGGAGTGCAGGCTGGAAGGAGAGATGGAAGGAGGCTTGGGGTGGGAGAGGAGAGCTATGTCTTCTGCATGGGCTGTAGCAGCCTTGAGCCCAATTCCTGCGAATACAGCATCTTCCCATCTGCTGTACTGAGCTTGTCTGACTGCCCTTGTGGGGATGCATGGTGATTCCATGGAGATGCTGAGCAATGTCTCTTGCTGAGCTGGATCTCTTGCTTGGGGTGTTTCTGACATTTCCCCCTCTCTGTTCTTGTGCTGCAGACCCATAAAGAAGATGAGCTGTCAAGGTGCATCAAGAACTTGCTGGGCGATGAGGACGCCAAGGTGCTCCTGAGCCATGAGTCCCCTCTGAATCCCACAGGGATTCCAAAAAAGCCACAGTCCAACTCCCAGGCTCCCAGTCACAGGCCGGCCTCCAGTAGGACAAATCCGTCTGAGGACATATGGAGAGAATCCTCACCACAATCACTGGGCACCACACCTAAGCCTGAGCTGAGCTATGGTGCCAGCAATGAAGGTCTCTCAAATGGGAGGTCAGAAGTCAAAGCTCCACAATCTGAAATCCTTCCTGAGCCTGTCCAGGTGAGTTCAATTGTTGGGGTCCTCTGTTGCTGGTAGTCCCTCAAGGCCAAGGGAGCAGCACACAGGCCCTGCCTGGTTCATGGCTCAGCCTCCCCAGAGGACAAAGGAATTGGATGCCTGGTGCAATTTGGGGTTTTGCCAGGGTCATCCAGCAGCACTGGGATGTTGCTGTGCCCTATGGAATGTAGGAGCCCCCAGTGCTGAATCACGGCAGTTGGTGTAGGATGGTCATGGAGATGGTTTTCAGGTTGTGTTTGGCCTTTGGAAGGAGAAGGAAGAGCTGGAGGCTGCAGTCAGCTTTTCCTGGAAGAGGCTGTTGATCAGCTGCAAAGGACTGGAGGCAACATCTTGTGGAAAATGAGGGAAGTAGAGCACTGCAGGGCCTTGCCTTCCACAGGAGCCATTCTTCATGCCAAAAAGATGAAGCAGCACTGTGGATCTCCAACCCTTGAAAGTGCAGAGTGCTGCAATCAGCCCTGAGGCTCCCAGCAATGGGCAGTGTTTTTCCTTGCTGCTTGGAAGCCCAGTTGAGGGAGTGTGAAGAAAGGAGCAGGGATGCTGCATCTTCCTTGGAGAGAGCAGTGAGGGAGGGGAAGGAGTGTTTTTCTCTCAGCAAAAGTGTTTCTGAGGGAGGGCCGGAGTCCCTGCCAGCTTCTGCCATCCGCTGGACGTGGACTCAGCTCTTTGGGGTAGCCCAAATCCAACTTCTCTCCATAGTGTGTCTCTGAGCACCCTTGGAGAACCTCCCAGTTTGGCTGCTAAATCTGTCATTTTGCCAAGCAATGGGAGAGTGAGAAATGGTAGTCAGGGATTTGCATATCCTGCAGGGGCAAGAATATGCATAAACTCTGAGGCATCATTCCAGAAGCATCTGAAGTCAGTGTCTTGTCCAGACCGCTGTTGCCTTCAGAAGAATAAGGAGTCTCCTTTGATTTGGGTGAATGAGAAATATTCTTCTTTCTCTAGGACTGGCTTAGAAGAATTGGGAACTATTATTTCTGACTGTTTTTCTTTTAACTAAGGAAGATTTTTGCAGAACTTTTTAAATGCAGAGGGAGCCTGTGCCTTTGAAGACAAAGCTTTGCTGCTTGATAGTATAATAGTAGAATTCCATAAAGGGAGAAGACTGGACAGACAAACTTCTATCATAATAATTACAGTAATGATGAATAGCAGTAGCAGTAGTAGTAGTAGTAGTAGTAGTAGTAGTAGTAGTAGTAGTTTAAGAATGGAAAGAATATTTCCAGTCTGCCAGGTTCCAAATGGATTTCCTCTTTTTCTCAGAGGCAGAAGAGATGTCTGTGGGAATTTCTGCTGGTTTTCCACTTGGCCTCCATTCTCAATTCCCCTTTAGATGAGCCTTTTGATCCTCAGTAGCATTTGATTATGAATGGAATTTCAGGACATTTTTTGATTTGTTGGTAACCAAATGTTGCTGTGTCCATGTCAATCAGTAAAAAAGCCAAACAAACTCCTCCTGCCTCCCTCATTCTTGATTCAGAAAAAGAAGCCCATTGAAGTGCCATCCATTGCAAAAACATTGAAGTTTAGTGCTCATCCATAATAGATCTCTGTATTTGCTCATGTTTTGCATACATGAAAGAAATGGTTGGGGAAAAAATACACTGTTCAGCTCCTGCTCATGCAGCAGACGTTGCCCTCCCTGAAAGTGTGTTTTGGGCTGGGCTGAGGAGAAGTAGGGATAAAAGCTGGAGTTGTAAGGTCGGCCTTCGTCTCAGTCTGTGAGCACAATGCTGTCTAGAGCAGTTCAAGGACCAGACTGACAACTCATGCCAGGCAGCCAGAGCTGCTCCTCCCTCAAGCTGGGGGTTGCCTTTCCTGAGCTCCCCTTGTCCAAAGGCCCTGGACCTGCTGCCTCATGTCTGGGCTTCCAAATTTCCATTTGGGAAACAAAGGGAATCCAGCCCCATGAGTTCCTGAGAACCAGATGCCGTTGTGCCTCGGAGTGTTTCTGAGTGGGCCAGTGTGGCAGCAAATTTCTCTTGCCTCTTTTTCATTGTTTTCAGTAGGCTCTGTATTGCTAGAGCTGTAACATGTTTGAGCCAGAGGAGGCAGATGAATGGAAAATGCTTCAGGGACTCCTACTTTTGTTTCAGTTGTGATCTGCAATGTGATGTTTTTCAGGAACACTTGAAGCATGGCATCTGTGTGGAAGCACAAAGTCCATTTTATCTTGATTGCCAGCACAAGCATTATCTGAGTGTGTTAGCCAGAAGTGGGAGTGCTGAGAGTGCTGCCGACCAAGTCACTTTTAGGTGGTGCCTATGCCAGGCACACAGCCATGCCTTGAAATCATCCCCACTTGTTGCACTGTGCTGAGTTCCCTGAGCTAACCTTGCCTCCTCCTCTCCTCTCCTGTTTTTGTGACCAAAACAGGTTGTGGAAAAGCCATCTTCTTCATTTGCTGCTCCAAGGTACAGTTGTGTTCCCAAACTACCCTCTAGACCAAACAAACTACTTTTCATTTGAGGGGGAGATGGGAAGGGCTTCCTGGTTTCCCTTGAAGCTGCAGCCTTTGGTTTGATGCTGCTCAGGGCTGCTGTTGGAAGTTGTTTCATTCTTGTGGGGGTTTCAGGAAATCTGCCATTAGAAATGAACAATCCAGGCATGCTGGAGTTTGCCAAAGAACCAGACCTGTATTTGCCCAGGTGCTCTGTTCTTTTCTCCTCCTCACCTCCAGTGTGTCTGTAGATCCTATGGTTTTGTATTGTCCAAGAATCCATCCTGAAATTTGTTACCCTTTATTGGAAGTGTTTCTTTTGGGGGTTGGGGCTTTCAGAAAGGCACCGGGCCGTTTTGGTATTTTTTAGCAACGTCAGTTGGCTGAATGCATCTTCACACTGTAGCAGTGAGATGCTGTTTACATTCTTGTCTGGCTGGGTGTGAGTTAAAAGTTTGATTATTCCCAGAGTGTTTTTCATACCGTGCTTCATTTTTGGAGCACGGCAATGTATTCCTCTGGCCTTCTCCCCTCTGCTCTCAAACCCAAACACAGGTTCAGTTTTAGTTTTGAATGCAGCCATATCAATGGAATAAGTAAGTAACCTTCCCCCCTGCTGCTTCCTAATTTTGTCTCCTGGTGACCTTGCAGAGCTCTCCAGTCCCAGCACAAGAAGGTGGCACCAGCACAGCCCAGCAGCTCCGAGTCAGGGAGCACCAGAGAGTGCCACAGCTCCTCAGTCTCGGCACTTCCAAGAGCACCAGCACCTGAGGTGAATGCAAATCAAATGTAGAGGCTGCTCCCACAGCCCCTTGCCTCCCCCTCTCTGCTGTCTGAGGGCAGTCAGGACAGGAGACCTATAATACTGTCACTGTTCGGGTGTCCCCTTGAGACCTCTGCAGCGTTTGCAGACCATCTGCATCAGACATTTCTTGCCCTCTGCTTCCTTTCTAGATTTTCTCCTTAAGAAAACCTTTCCTGGACTGTTGGTAACTCCCCATGTGTGGAGACACGAGGCTTGACTCCATTCAGGAGGGGAAAAATCCTAGCAGAGGATGTTTCATAAAATATCATGGTGACGCTGGACTTCAAGTGCCAAACCTGACAGTATTCCCACTTGTCCTCTGGCATCATTGTCTAGCCCTTCTGGAGTTTTCACTCCAGGATGAGTCCATTTTGAAGCTGAGAGATGAAACTTGGAGTGAATATGCTGAATGATCCTCCTCTGCAATAGGGATCTGTGACTGTGGCCCCTGACTCACTGGTTTCTCTTCATGGTTGTTTTGGACAAAGGCTCTGTAAGGGAAAAATGCCTTCTTTCATTTTCTGCTTGTTTCAGTCCTGTTGATGTCCTATTTTCTTCCTTTGACTTGCTCAGAAAGATGAACCTGTCTTTGATCATACAGTCTTGCAGTGCTGAAGCCTGGAGAGGGAGGAGGGAGAAGAAACAGTGAGGCTGCAGCCCTGCATCTATGGCCTGTGTGCTGGATGTTCACCATGGGAGAGGTGATTGGGCAACAGGGCTGGGCTTCTTGGCTCTGAGGAAATATCCCGTGAGCTGTGCTGCATGGAGGAGAAAGAGTCTGCCAGAGAAAGGATCTTGGCAAGGCTGATCAAGGGGGCCTTTGGCTGAAAGCTCAGCCCTCCCTGTTGTTTGGGGTGAAACAAGAGCTGTGGGGAGACTCCTGCCCTGCAGGGAACCTGACAGTGAAGAGGTGTAGAGCAGAAGAAACTCTGCTGTTCTTCCCTCCTCCTGCTTTGAATTCCATTGGAATTAAAGTCTTTGGCCTCAGTTATACTGAACAGCCACACACCAAAGAAGATTTTTCCTGGCACCTCCCTGGACATCCCTTCAGAAAGCCATTTCCTCCAGGCCAGGAGTTTGGCTCATTCAGTGTCTAAGGCACATGTCACCTGCAGCTGGGAATTCCTTCTTGATGGCTTCTTTTCCTGGCAGCACTGAAACCTTGAGGCTTCCAGTTGGACAGGCAAGCAGAATCCAGTGCAGAGTGACTTAATCCACAGGAGATAACCGTGCAGAGACTCGCTTAGCCTTCACAGAGACGCTGAACAGCTCTTTCTCCTCTTGCCCAAAGCAGAACCTTCGCTGTCCTACGTCACCCCGGTCTCTTGAAGGCATCATTCCCATGAAGCTGTGAGAAGCCTTGAAAACAAGGCATCAATGAAGCTTAGATGTATCTCTTGTCCTCCTGTGCCAGGTTTCACCTCTGCTCCCAGCACGTGAACAAAGCTGTTTGTAAAGCCAACCTCCTTGTTCATGTCTTTAGGAGCCCCTCAGCCCCAGCAGAGAGCCCAGTATTGCCTGCACTGGCAGACTGCGATGTGTCAGAGGCTTCATGGCAGGGCCAAGAATTCGGGAGTGTCAGTGTGCAGAAAGGAACAGGAATGTGGCATCTTCCTCAGAGTGTGTTGAAAAAGGAGAGTCAAAAAATCCCAAACAAAAAAAGAGAGCAAGTCAAGCTGTGTTCCTCTGCAGTTTACAAATCTGGGGGCAAGAAGCAGAATTTGAGGACAACTCCAGTTCACTGCTATTCTCAGGAAGAAGGAAGATTTCTCCCTTGAAGCTGGCTGAAAACAGATGAAGAGTCTGCTCTATCTTGCACGAGCTCCATGTGCGGGTGCTTTCCTTGTGCCAGAAATGCTCACCAGAATCAAAGCAACCTTGCAGAGCTGGTCCATGAGCTGGGCTTAGTGTGAAGTTTGTGGTCTCTGCTTTAGTCCTTCAGAAAAGACCCCGCACCTGAAAGCCTGAACCCTTTTCTGTGTTCAAGAGCTGTGTGTAAGAAGTAGTAGGATGTCTTTCCAGGAGGCCAAGTGATGATGGTCAAGTGCTTTGCCAAGCAAAAGCTCAATCTTGGCAGGAGGAGCCAGTCTGGAGCCATCCCGAGTTACCTGAGTAGGAACAGTGTCCTGAACTGGAAGCCAAGCACCAACTGCACCTTGCAAGGGTTGCATTTCAATCAAGGGTGTTTGGATGTTTTTTGGGTTTGTTTTTTTTTTCCTCAGGAAATTGTGTGTGATATTATTTGGGTGAATGACAAATATTACTCCTTCTCTAGAATTGGAAACTAAATTTTTTGTTTTTTCTTAATTAATGAAACTTTTTGCTCAACTCTTTCACATGCAGAGGCCGCCTATGCCTTTGCAGGCAGAGCTTAGCTGCTACAATACTAACTACAGGAAGTGATATTCAATAAAGGGAGGACACTGCAGCAACCTACTTTCTGAATAAGATGCATAAAAAGTCAGCAATGGAAAGAGTGTTTCCTGACTGCCAGGGAAGCCAGACATTGATCTTGCAGGAGGTGACTGGTGGTGTCAGCTCTTACTCTGCCTGGTCTCTCTTCCTCACTGCCCTTCAGATGAAACTGTTATTCCTTACTAGCATTTCATGATGAATGGACTTGCATGACATTTTTAGAGCTGCTGGTCAGGAAATGTTGACTGAGTGCATGCTTGTTTGCTATCAATGAGGAAAATACCCAAACAAACTCACAGTGCTTCCCTCTTTCTTGTTTCAGCCCATGGTGCACACTGATGTGCAGTCCATTGAAGGAATATTGAAGGTGGGTACTCTTCAATAGCACATCTCCATGGGAAAGCCTGTACAAATCCATGGGGGAGGGGGATCCCTCTGACTCTGGGAAGGTTGAAACTCCCTCTGTGTCCCTGAGGAAAAACTCCTGAGAGCTGCTTCTCTCTCTCTCTTTGCAGGAAATGAGCAGCCCCCTGTCACCTCTCCTGCCATCCCTTCAGTCACCTGAGAGAACAGAGACTTCCAAATTTCCTGTGCAGGCAAAGGTAACCCAGCCCACTTTTTTCAGGGCTTGCGATAAATGACAAGAGATCTTTGTGCTGAGCAGAAGTTCAGTCAAAAAAAAAAAAAAAGAAAACACACACAACAGTCCATAATGGTACACTTTCAAAACACTCTTTCTCCCCCCACTCCTCTAACACCCAAATCCCCTCTAGCATTCAATTCTCAGTCCAATACCATCCTTCACACAAGCCCCTGCCAGTTCATCAGGAGAGAGCAGTCTCCCTCTTGCACCATGGGCCCCCCCAGGAAACACAGTAGAACTTCCTCCGCTTCCATGTCACATGTGGCAGCTGCTCGAAGAGAATTGAGTTAGGAAACTCCCATCTGGAGTGATGAACAATCTTGGTGGCAAAGCCTCCCTAGAAGAAAGTGACTAATCTGGTGCTGAGAGACCGCAGGCTAATATACGCTCTAAGGGAGGTATACAAATGCAACCTTTTCATTTCTTCTTTCCAGGGCAGGCTGGCACAGCTTCAGAAACATTGCCGACTTCTCAGCCAAGAACCTCGTAAGTAACCAGACTCTGTTCTCATCTCTGCTGGGCAGTTACTTGGAAGAACCTGGAATGCACAACAGTTTGGGATATTAGTAAATTTTTCTCAGAAAACTTGATTGCAGGGAATTTTCACCAACAGAAAAACTGTTGTTTTATGATGGACTCACTAAATTGTTTCAGTTTGAAAAGGACTTGAAGATCATCAAGTCCTATCATTAATCCAGCAATGCCAAGTGCACTAAACCATGTCATGAGTACAATGACTGTGATAAAAACCAAAACAAACTAAAAGTGAAGAAAAAACCCTTAAGTCTTTGTGTACCAGATTGAATTTTTTGTCTTCTTTTAATCTGTGGTGCTTAACATCTTGTCCCACTTGGTACTTGTCAACCTCCTGATAATGCTTAGGCTGACATAAATGCTAAGGAATACCAGCTGAATCGGATCATTCCTGGCTATGGTTTTGACGCCTAGCAGGACAAGAAATGCTACAGCTACCTAAACTGTGTAGATCTACTGATGACATTTTCAAGTTACTTTGTTGTAAAACTTTAATCAGTTGCCCAAGTAGAAGTTTTCAAAACTGTGTTGTAGTTCTTTTATTTCAAAAGAAACACAAAGAAATAGAGTATTTCACCTGGACTTTTTAAGAACCTCACCTTATATGCTAATAATACAGGTAGTTGCAGAGTGGAATGAAGACAAAATTTCTATAAGCTATGGGAATTGTGTATGTTTGTCTGACTGGGTGTGAGTTGGAGGTTGGATAATTTGCAAGCATTTTTTTATTCCAGTGCTTTGTATTTTGAGTATGGCAATGTATTCCTCTGGCCTTCTCCCCTCTGCTCTCAAACCCAAACACAGGGTTCAGTTTACATTTTGAATGCTGCCATGTCAGTGGAATAGACATAGAATAGAATGGTATAGTGGAAAAGAATGCTTCCCCCTGCTGCTTCCTAATTTTGTCTCCTGGTGACCTTGCAGAGCTCTCCAGTCCCAGCACAAGAAGGTGGCACCAGCACAGCCCAGCAGCTCCGAGTTAGGGAGCACCAAGGAGTGCCACAGCTCCTCAGTCTGTGACAGAGAGATCAGCTGCAGTGACAATGAGGAGGACAACCTTCCAAGGGTGCTGGCCCTGCCAGTACGTGAGGTGAATTCAGAGACCATGGAGAGGCTGCTTCCACAGCCCCTTGCCCACTGCAGTGTGATGTCTTAGGAAGGTAGCAGATGTACTCTGTTATCAAATTCTGCCTGGTTTGCCCTGGAGATACTGATTTCTAAGACCCCTCTCAGTGCATTGAAGGCTTAGGTATTTGCCACTGACTGGTTGATGGTTTTGTATTCCTCACATATCCATCCATGGTGCTCAAGGAGCAAGTTTGTTGCTGGTTAGTTTAGAGTCATTTCTTCACAGGCTAAAGGCCAGACTTGATGACCTCTGGGCAAGAGTCCCTGGGCTCTGGTGAGCTGTGCTAGGACAGAAAGGCACCAGTCTTGAATCCTTCTTTTCTCTTTTGTTGGCAGCCTGAGCCATCAACTGCTAAAAAGTGGCACCTTGACAACCTGCTGACCCAGAGAAAGCAAGGATTAGTGGCAAGAGAGGGTCTTAGGGAAATTACCTGTGGGAATGGATGTGAGGAGGGTGTGAAGCAGGAGCAGGGCATCAGCAGCACTTCCTGCCAGAACCACTCCAAGGCAAGGGAGCCTCCTCACAAGAGCTGTGGCCAAGTGGCCACGGATTTCCACTCACCTTTGCCCAGGTGGCCGAGGACACTCACAAGACCTCTGGCCAAACGACCAATCATTTTCACAAGACATCTGGCCAAGTCACTCAGGCTCCTCAGGATCTCATATTACGAGCACACACAGCTCTCTGAAGCCTCTTGTGCACACCAAGGAGGCATTGCCCAAGAAAACTCTGGGTATCAAAAAGCCCAGTATGTCCCTGGTACACAACAGATCTGAGAGAGTCTGGAAGGCAGAGAGTGAGCCTGGTCTTTTGCAGGTCACAGACCAGTCATGCAAGGAGCAGACCAAAGTCAAGAAAACAGTGAAGCCAAAAGCCACCAACAATAAGGACCTGCAGCCGGCACTTCACAAGCCCTCTGAGGACAGTAAGGACAAGGGCTCCCAGCAGGCAAACACCAAAGGCTTTTTGGATGCCAGGCTCCTGAGACATGCTCAGGAATGTGATGCCCTCATCCCCAGTGGCCACAGGCCTGGGGATTGGCACAAGGAGAAAGTGCCCTTGCATTCTGGAGTGAAGAAGTTGTTCTTGCCTTTGAGGAAGGCAGACTTGAAGAGGAAAGCCATGAGGAGTCCTGAGGAGTTCCCTGGAAAGAAGAAGGTGAGAGGGGCCAGGGGCAAGTGGGTTTGGACAATGAGCAAGGTGGTGTTTGAAAAACCCATGTGGAGTTTCCGTTTCATAGGCTGGCAGTAGAACCATGATGCTTCTCCTCTCAAGGGAGTTCCAGTGTGTTATTTTTAATGTTTTCAGCCAGAATCTATCAAAGTGAGCTGTACTGGTCTGTACTTTAGGTGAACTTTGAAGACCTGAGTCAATTTTTTCCCCTGTTTTTATTCTTCCTACTAGAGAGAAGACAAGGGGGGTACTCCCAGGAAGAAAAAGGAATGAGACACAAAAAATTGCTGACCAAATTATTTCAGCTTTCAGCAAACAAAGGCCCCAATCAACTGAAGTGAGTATACAGTGATGGGATGTAAGAAAGATGTGTAAATCTAAGTCTCTCTTCAGAAGGGTAGCATGAAGAACTGGATCTCCTGTCCAGCCACTCCAGAGTTTGCTTCTAACATGGTGTGCCTTCTGCAACTACAGCTGCTGCAGATTGGCCTTTACATGCTGGAAGCTACTGTTGGTTGGGGGTTTATGTAGAAATGATGAATGGGATGGGATTGTGTTGGAGCATGTCTTAATTTGTTTATTTTTAGCATTAGTCTTTTTCCATGGTTATGACAATGAGAAAATGTTAGTAGTTGACTTTTTTGTAACAGACAAAGAACTCAGTTACAATTTACTATAAAAGTTTCTTGACTAATCACACAAAGCAAAAGCATCTTGACAGTAGTTCTATCTAACTACTATATGTACATGTATTTTTTTGTTAAAAGAATGTTTGCTTCTTTTGAGTATAATACTTGTTTGTAAGCTTTAAAAGACACTGCACAGAGCTCTATTATTAAGCTTAGAACTTCTTAATATCTTGCTAGATATACTTCCTGTAGCTTAGGGACAAGTGTTAATATACAGACTATTGTTTTATTTGCCCTTATTTTTCTACTTCTTCTGTAATTTTTCTGTTGATAAATCTTAGGGCCATTGCTTAGCTCTCATTGTAGTTTGGTTGTCTCTGAGGTTTGCTTTTTGTAGTTTTCCTAAACCTCTGTGATTTTAAGAATTCCCAGAGATGCAACGAGTGCAGAAAGCAGCTCTGAAGGTGTAGGTGGGTCAGGGTAGGGAACCTTTCCTTTCTGACATTCTCTGAAAGCACAGAGGTGTTGGGGCTGATGATTGGCTGGGAGAAGGGCTGTTCTAATGGCATTAGGAATGGAAGAGCTTTGATTCTGGAATTCCTTCCTCCCTTTTCCTCAGAGAAAATGGGCAGCTGTCTTAGTCATGTGCTGGCTTTTGGAGTGGCAAGGGTAGGAGGTAGTTTTGGGCAGAGAGGGCTCTGGGTCAGGTCGGGGATGGTGCTGTGCTCTGTGTCAAATGGTCCTTGGTACAGCATCAGCTGAGCCAAGGCAGAGCAGCTGGAGAGCACGTGTGCAGTGAGCAGGGATGAAAGCACAGGAAAAGTGGCTGCTGAAAGGGGTGAGAGGACTGTGCCATGCACAGCAGACTCAGGCAAGAAGTGCAGCCTTACACCTGAGCCTTCTCACTGGGTTTAACTTCATTTCCTGCTCTTCTGATGCTGCAGTCCATGAGCTGGGATTCGCTGCTTGGTGTGTTCTTGGAAACAGCTGACTACAAATGGTGCTACTTGGTGCTGCTTCTTGTTGCCAGAATTCCATGGACATCCTGATTTCAGATGATCAGATTTCTGCTAGGCCACTTTGTTACTGAATGTGAAAGTCTCTGCCAATTCAAACTGCCTCTTATTTGAAGCCTCTTGTCTTTGAAAGTGTTGCCTTGTTGAGACAATGGCATGAATGTAGCCAAGCTTTTAAGAAATGCCTACATTCTATGTACATCAGAGTCATGAATTTGCTTCTCTTGTCCAGAGCAACAGAAGACTCATTCCAAACGGAGAGGAAAAATATATTGCTGTGACCACTGTCGACCATGACTGCTGCACAAGGTGAACCAAATTTGACCACGAGGACTCCAAAGAGACCCAGAACTGTGACTGATGACCTGGAGCTGCCTGCCGTGGATAACCCTGACAGGAAGCAGGATCCTTTTCTTGCCAAGCACAGGAAAGTGGAGGAAGACCCTGAGGAGCAATCCCAGGCCATCACCATTGTTATCCAGGAGAGCTGGTGGGAGTATTCTTGCAACCCACGCGTGCTGTGTGATTCACTTCAGAAACATCCTCTCAGATAAGTGACCATTTCTGACTGTAGGCAACTGCAACTAAAAGGAGTGTATTTATAAAAAGGAGAGTGTTTATAAAAAGGAGTGTGTTTATAAAAAGTAATGGACTGCAATCTGGGCCTAAGGTTCTATATAATTTGGAGAAAATTGTTGCAATTATGGGTTCAAAATTCGATTTTCCTGGCTGTTTATAAAAATTTGGCTGTTTAATGATGGCTCGGGGTATGGGGTCTAGGATGTTTAGGGGGGGGATGGGAGGTGGGGCAGGGCTGTGTGTTGGGCCTGACTGTGAACAGTGCATTAGCTCCTTCTAAGTGCTTGCTTTTTCCTGATAATTTTCCTGCTTCCAGCTCTCACTGCACTCCCAGCCATTGAGCCAAGGAGATGTGATGCTGAATTTCTCTGTGCTTGGGAAAATTTGAACGGTGCAAAGCATTGTGAGCTGCCAGGTGAGAAGCCAAGGTTCCATTTCAATTATTGGAGGGATTGCTGGGAAAGAAGGCAAGAGGGGGAGAGTCTGGTGCATAGACTATTGCCTGGGAGAAATGAACATTTTCTCTGGAAATTTATAAAGCCTGGCTTTGCAATTGCTTTAGGCATCTCTCTCTGAGCAGCTTTCTCTCGGTGGTTTTTCAGGGATCTGCAGGGGATGAGAAGAATCCTTTTCCAGTGACTTCTGTGCCACGTGAAGCCAAGACAAGAAGACCTCAAGTTAGGACAGTAAGTGTTTGTTTTGCAGCCCTGCCTGTAGTTTCTGAAGACACCAGCCAGGACTGCCACCCCAGCCTCTGCTTCCTCAGGAGCACTTCTTTTGGGAGCAAAGAGAGAGGGAGGGATGGGGCAGAGCTGCCCCCTCAGGGAAGCACTTGCTAAGTAGCTTGGCTACAGCTGAACAGCACTTGAATTTTTGACTCCTTGCTGAGCCTTTGATCTGTGTTGGCCAAAAGGGATTCCTAGAGCTGCTGATACATTTTTGATTGTACCCTTTAATCATTACAACTGTTGCATTGTCCTGTGGTACAAGCAGTGGGGAATACTGAAAAGCTGTAACCTGCCATCCCATGGGGCCTTTGCGGTGTCATTTTCCATAAACCACCAAGTTTTGTGGGCCCCTCTGGGCAAAGGAACGCATTGCCATGATGTGCTGTCAAACTTGCAAAAGAAAATAAACACGATGTGGCTAGCTGAGTGGCTGGCAGGCTGTAAAAGTCCTCTCCAGAAAGAGGCAGCTGCTGAAAGTGAAAAAGTCTTGCAGGTCCTCTTGTAGTAAAGTCACTCCAGTCATTGATTGTGTTCTGCCAGGTGTGCCTGTTGCATGAATGCAACCAAATGTTGTCTCTCTTCCTCCTTTTGTTCCAGAGCTTGCTGCTGAACAAAGCCAAGTGAGGGGACCAAGAACCGGCCTGACCTCATCCACGGAACGAGTCAGAAGTTACAGTGACCCAGACTGGAACCAAGTGCCTTAACTGGGTCTCCAGGATGTAAATAGTTCAAAGTTCTCTGTTGTTTTGAAGCCTTAAAAAACTTTTTTTCATTAATTTTCTTATTGTTCAATGCAAAGCACCTGCATATTTTTTAAATACAGTTGTATTTTTTTTCAGCTGGAAAACTTTTGTGTTTTTTGAAGGTAATGCTTTTCTATCTTGCAAAAGTAGGGCTGGAGTGTGTTACCTGCCTATGAAAAGACCTAGTGCAGTGAATTGTCTGAATGGGCCCATGTCATGATGGTCTCTAAATGTGTCTATTATGAATAACTAACAGGACAATTTTCACACCTATTGCTGACAAGGAATTCTGCACTCAGACTGTGGTAATGAGGGTCTTGCTCAGTTTTGGCCCTGTCAGACCCAAGTTTGGGTGGCAAAATGACACCCGAAGTGTGGCTGGAAACAGCTCTGTCTGTGTCCTGTGCTGGAGGGATGGGACTCACAGGGAGGATTCCTCCTTGGGTTGCTTTTTGGCATTTGGGTTGGTGGAGATGGACAACTGCAACAGGGCCTTGGGATTGCTTGGATATTGTTGTGAGTCTGAGATTTTCCAGGGGGAGGAATCTCTTCTGACAAAGAAGGGATTAAGTGGCTGAATATGGAACATAAGGCACATTTTGCATTTGGATATTTGCCTGCAAACACTGGTGGTCTCAGTGAGTGTCCAGGAGCAGAATTTGGTACCAAAGCAGAGCATTCTTCCTGTGGGAGAGGACTCAGGCTCCCTCTCAGCCACACCCTAGGGTGGGCTCAGTGATTTACAAACCTGTCAAGGGAACGCAAAAGGGAAAAATGAGCTGTTTGCAAGCACTTCTCCCTTGCCACGCTAACAGTGGAGGCAGCATCCACAGCACCAGTGTGTTCAGTTGACACCCTTCCCTACCCAAAGATTTCCTGGAAATTATTCTTGCAGTGTGGCTCAAGGAGTTAGTTTTTCAGAGAAATCACACTTCTGTGGGGAAAAAAAAAAAAAAAAAAAAAAAAAAAACCACAAAAAACCAACCAAAACACTTCAAGTTTTCGGTCACCTTTCAGTTGACTTTGATAGGCTTTGCATCAATGTTATTTATATAAAATATTTAGAATCAAGTTCAAAAACTGCTAAACAAGAAATTTTATTTGCACAAGTAGTTTCATTGTGCCTCAAACACAGATGAGCAGGTTCCTTTTTACAGTCATATTCCCCCATCTTCACACTCAAGTCACTGTATTGCAATATGAAAGCAAATTATTGGTAATGGTCATAAGATAGTCAATAAAACACAGATACTTGATATCAGTGAGAGATTCTGGAATCTTGATTTATCACTATGCTACTCCAGTGTGTTGACACCCTTGTCTACACAAAGATTTCCTGTGTGACAGCAGCATCCTGCCATCCTCACATCCAATGGTGTGTCTGCCTTAGCCCTCTGCTGCTGTCACATGCCCTCCCTATCTCTGACAGACCTGTGTGAGTGTGGAGAAAAGGATGGTATCCCAAAAGAATTTTGATTACAAGAAAGAATTATCTCCCTTTTCCACATAATTTCATGTTGTAGGAACAGGTCTGCACAGATTTAGCAGTACCCCCTTTGTAAAATACCTCTTTGTGGGTTTGAGGCTCAGGAAAATGAACAATAAATACCAGCAAATGCCTACATTTCCAAAAGGGGTTTCTGTAGAAAGGACTCCTGCCTGTCATTCTGCCTTCTGGCCCTGCAGGACCACTGGGATCATGGCTGGGTCTTTCTGCATTTTCAAGGGACTGGCCTTTTATGTTCACTCTATTAAAATTCTTAGTGCATTTCATGGATAAGCTGCCCTAATGGGTGGAAGGAAGGTCCATGTTCCCCCTCCCCATTTTACCCATCAAATCTTATTTACTCCTCATCCCTGGAGTTGTCCCTGTCCATAGCAGGAGGGCTGGAACTAAACCATCCTTAATGTCCCTTTCAACCCAAGCCATTCTATGATTCTATGAAATAACAGAAAAATTTGAAAAATCCAGTTTATTTCAACCTTGAGCCAGGTCAGGGGCCTGCAATGGGTTAGGAAAGATGCTCATTGTTTTCACTTGGGGCTATTCTAGGACATGAACAAGATGACTGTTCGAAAGCAAAACCAATGAGAGACTTCAAGTCAGAAATATAATTTATTAGGAAAAGGGAAAAAGAACCCAAAATGCATGTAATAATACAAAAGAAAAACCACTGACAGAGTCAGAATATAACCTGACACCCTGCTAGTTAGGGTGGTGGTAGCAGTCCAGATGAAATGGTCTTGTTGAAGTGGTGATCCTGTGAAAAAATCTGGTAGCTCTTGTCCTCTGGAAACCAGTGGATAACGGCAGCTTATTCTGTCCCAAACCCCAGATTATATCCAGGTGGGGATGCTTAGCTCCTCCCCCCTGGCAGAGAATCTCACAGTGAGCTGATATAATTTTATGAGTCATGGGGTGGGTCCATTAAACAGAAATGTCTCCTGGAGGGAGTTATCTCTGAGTCATTCGGCAAGGCATCGATGGCCCATTAACAGGAGACAAAGAAAAACAATGCCCCTCCTGGCTTCAACAGCTCTTGAGGATGGGAATAGAGTACATCTTTATATTGTAACCTAGGACACTGTTCATTCTGTCAGTGATGAAAACTTTAATTAAGTACAGTAACTGAACTTCTGCTCAAAACCAGTGATTAGTGGGTGTGAATCAGCACCACAGACATGCAGAGGGGTGACTTTCACTCTGATGCAAAGGGGCTGGAGACAGCAGTGCCCTGTGTGACTTCAGCAGGGCTGTGTTGGCTGTTCCTGTGGCCATGGGCTTTACAGAGCTGTGTGTGCATTTGCAATTTCTTCCACTCTGGTGTGTTGATTTTCACTGTCCTATTTTTTTCTTTCTTGGAAAATGTGTCCAGGGGAAGACAATGTCTGAGCAATTTTTGGCCCATGTTAAGTCTTGCCTGCCAAGCAAATGTTTCTCATTGGCCCTGCTGCCACTCCCAGGAACAGCCAGACTGCACAGCTGCCTGCTTATAGTCGCATTAAAATGCCACAAAGGGCACCCACACCAGCCTTGCAGACTGAGCCAAGGAGGAATTACAAATACAAGCTTAATCTCCTGGCTGGCTGTGCTTTATCTGCTACCAGTTCCAGTACAGAAAACGTGCAAAGCTTTAGAAAACAAACACGTATGTGGTAAAAGCAGCCAGCAAAAAAAATTAAGCGGAGTATCTGGAACAGAGTACTTGGCTTTGCAAAACTCTGCACTGCAGTGATGCTGAAAATAGTTCCAAGAACAGTTTCAGCCTAAATAAGGACAGAAAGCCCCATCTGACCGTGGGAACAATTTATAGTTAAGAATTTTGCAGTCATTCTAATTAAGCTTGAATGGGCTATTTGACTGAATTTTTATCACCTGTTAACAACTTGTTTGTGAAATAAGTCTTGGTGTCATTTAATGTGGGAGCCACAGTCCCATCACACGTGATCCTGCTGAGCATCCTGCAGCTATCACAGCAGGCATGGTAGATGCAGCAAACAAGATGCTGCTTCTGATTCCCATCCTGGTTTGGGGCAATTAGGTTGGACTGGAGTTGGGAAACTATGTAGTCAGTGTTGCATTTCAAGCAACTTGATTTTTTCTTTGACAAACCTCTATTTACTCAGGAGTTTCCCTGTGTTGGTGGGTCCCGACCCCATTCCTCATTGATTGCTGTTTGTAGATATTTTTTGCTTCTTGATGAGTGTTTCATGCAGCTTTTTTCCAACTCCTAGGAGAGACAGAAACACTCCACAATGAAAATGCTGTTCCAAGTGGAGGTAAGGACACAGAACTGAGGTCCTGCAACCATGACTCTTGCAGCCAGAATAGCTGCTAGTAAAATCCAGAGTAAAATCTCTTCGCTTTTTGGCTGTTGCTGGGGCTTGATGGTTGTTGGTTTTGGGCTCTATTTCCTTGGTAGGTGTGTGGTGGACTTCTATGATGTGGATAATATTTTGCAGGTTTGCAGTTTGGTGCATGTTTACTACCTCGCACTGGAACTCCACCAGATCCTGTCACATTGTCTGCTCAGGGGCCTTTTATTCCTTTTCTTGTATTAAATTCCACAATTTCTCCATCTTCTAGACTGTGGAGGTATTTCCTGGGGTTATTCTTTTTTATAAGTCTGATGAACGAACATATCTTCTTTGCTATCATTCCAAGTGATGAAACCATATCTGATTTTTACATTGAACCATTTCACTGTCCCCAAAACGTTTATGGCAAGGACTTTTTTATCTTTGCCAGTGGGTTTGTGTTTGTGTTGCTGGTGCTCGATGTTAGGAGTAAAAAGTTGTCCATTTTTAAAAGTTATAGAGTTAACAAGTTAAACCAATTGCTACTAAGTTAGAGCTTTAATTACTTATTGTTAATAGTTTCATGCTGTAATTACCTGTTGTTAATAGTTTTATTCTTTAATTACCTGTTGTTAATAGCTTAATGGTTAGAAATCCCCCTCCGTCAGGCATCACCCCTGCTGCTTCCTGGAAAATGGCACCCAGGACTGTGAGGAGGAAGTGATGTCAGAGCTTGTATGCAAATGTAGAAACACTCCTCCAAATCCAGCAAAGAAAACCCCAAAAACAATGAGCCACCACAGAATTAAACAATCTAAGGGTAAGCAACTGTATCCAGTGTCTGCTAAAACCTTTTAATCTCTCACCCTAACCCAAGAGATGTCAGCCAAAAAGAAGACCTCAAATGTAAAATTGAAAACTGGAATCTCCTGGTGCTCTCACAAGGACAGAAGCCCCGGCTCTGCCTGCACACCAGCAGACAAAGCTGCATACCTCCTCCTCCTGCGTGCCACTCCTGGGAGCAGCGGCGGTGTGCACGCGACCCATCGGGCCCCCACCGAAGCTGACCTCAATAAAGGCATTAAAAAAGGAGAAAAATCTCCTGCCCTATTTATTTCACTGGACATGTTGCTGGTGCTGAGGTGCTGCCATGTGAAATTCATCCTGCTCCTGGTGCTGGGAGGCTGTGCTGGGGCGGGAGGCGATAGTGGTTTCACTGCCAGGACTGTGGTTCTGAGCCATCCCCTGCCAGGGCTGCCTGCCCAC